TGAAATGATGCTTCTGAAGCACACGCACAATAATGCCAACCTATGTAGTACAGTACCTGGGATGCTAACAGAAGGTGGGCAGGTGCTGTGGGCAGAGAATGGTTGGGAGTCCCAGGATGGCCCCGGAACCCCCTCTGACGCCCATGTGGTGGAGAGGAGAGGAGCCGATACTTAGGAGAGTGACAGGAGGAGGCAGCCAAGGAACCTTTCCATTTGGGAGTAACTTTTAGGGTCACCCTTCACACTGCTCTTATGGTTGCCAGATGGGGTCTGGGCCCGGAGCAGGTCTGTCTTGGGCTGGCCAGCGGTGTGTGGGTTCGTGACCCGGTGCAGGAAAGATTTCGCAGCGCACGCTTTGAGAGTATGATTATTACAGCTGGGGACAGTGAACCGAAGGAAGGGCTGAAGATAGAAGAAGCAACAGGAGAGAGAAGGTCAGAGAAAAGGGGGGCCTTGGAGACAGGTTCAGGGGTGAGCCCGGGATGAGCTCTGCTGCTGGCTGCTCCCCTGGTGGCAAATCTAGTAGGGGCCCTTTGAGTTTAGGAGAAAGAGAGCAGAGATACAAGGTGTGGGTGTGCTCCAGGGAGAGCGCATGTGGGACCTTTGTCTGGAGACTTTTTGTCTTCCTTTGACTGGTGGGGATCTAAAGGAGGTCTCAGGGCAGAGTCGTACCAGAATAGTCATTAGCATCCTAGTTACGTTCTTCAGGATGCTGATTCATCCAAATGTGCATACAGAGGGGCCAGGGGTTATTTTCCCGTTAGTTTCATTTTTAAAGAATATCATCAAGAACCTCAGGGAAGAGGGACTGGCGCCAAGGCCTTCCTGCCCTGGCCGGTCTGCAATGTGCACTAACTGTCCGCTCTCAGTGTCCTAGTTGAGGAAGACCAAACCTTGTGATTCATTAGCTGGCTGTAAGTTGTTCCAAATGTGTGGCCTTATTTAATTATTTTTTCTGTTCCCCTTATGCCACTTATCAGGGAATCTTCCTATCTTCTTACTATCCTGTCTCACTCACTCCATCATCTTATTAGAATACTTAGTTGAAAGTTACTTGGGAACTACTCCGACCAAATCTAATGTTCTATTTTTCATCCTCATTCTTCTTCTTCTTACTCAATCATTTGATCGTGGTTTGAACACTCATTGTTATTAATGTACTAACTCTTGACCACCCTGTATTTTGACCCCTCTGTCTCCTTCTTGTCTGTTGTTTCTGTGGAAGTCAGTCACCAACTCATAGCTTTGAAGAATACAAAAGTATTCGCCCAGTCACTGCCCATCCTTTTTCCTTTTTGTCTATTCCTGGAGCACACACAAGATTCCATCTCACCGAATCATCACGTATAGCCTGACCTATGACTTTAGATACTCATTTAGGTACCCAATTAATACAGTATCAGGCTGATCCAAGAGAGAGAGAGAGAGAGAGAGAGAGAGAGAGAGAGAGAGAGAGAGAGAGAGAGAGAGAGAGAAGGGGGGGGTGGGAATCTGGGTGGCTGTTTCGATGCATGTGCTCCTTCACATTGTAAGTGCTTACAAGTAGAAAGGATGAGCAGTGATTTGAGCATGTATTTCAGAGCCAGAACTGTGTTCCAATAATGCACTTGCTCATAGGAACTCTGTCACGAAAGCTGTCTAAAGCCAACTTCTTCATCTTTAAAATTAGACAATGATACTCACCCCTCTAGAGAGAGCTGGCAAGTAAGATTTATGTGAAAGGAGCAGCATACAAGTACAGGAGACTCAACCCTGATTTCTCCCTGTGCTTTTAACCTCCCTCCCATCACCCATTTCAGTAACACAATAGTCGAGCTCCATTTTGGTTTGACTAATTGGAAGATTAGAACAGTTGGAATAGTCTGGCTAATCAACCAAATCCCTCCACCATGTCCTCTCAATGATGTAAAGTTTTATCACAATAAATCACTTCTATCTCAATAAGTTACTAACCAAGATTTTATTTTTTAAGAAAATGCAAATGTAGGGAAGAGAGGGGCACAATATGTTTCAGGTGACTCTGACATATTAATTGTGGGAACCCCTTTCATGTCCTTGGTTCATGGTTCAGGGTTCCAGTTCAGGGTTCGGGTTTTGGAGAAGGCCGCACACAACTGAAAAGAAACTAGGAAAGCAGTAATTTGGGAGATGGGGGCCAGGCGGAAGCCCAAGAGAGGACTACTCCTCCCTCTGGCTTTGCCACCCCTATTATTAAGATTATGGGATACACTCACATCCCTCAGACAGGAAACTCCAATAATAGCCAATCATAGGACTAACAGGTGGAGGCTGATTCATCTACCAATGTCTCAACCAAACAGTGAGTGATTAGCCCTGACCTTTCAGAGCAATGAAAATTCACCAGCCTTCAGGATTCCCCATCTACACCTCTCCACAAGTAAAACAAGATTGGCTTCCGGAAATTAATAAAGTCATTTGGGAGGGTCTATAATGTGACAATCACAGCATCTAGTTTATATCTGATGAGCTTGCTTCCTGTGATTTTATTTAGTTTTTGTTCGTATTGATTAATAGAATTAGAGATGGTAAAAGTTGCTGAAGGAGCATGTAAAACATGGAAATGCAGGCATCTTGACCTAATATCCTAAATATCACAGTCTTTTTTTTAGTACATTTTATTGATTTTTTTTTATGGAGAGAAAGGGAGAGAGATAGAGAGTTAGAAACATCGATGAGAGAGTCATCAATCAGCTGCGTCCTGCATACCCCCTACTGGGCACGTGCCTGCAACCAAGGTACATGCCCTTGAATCGAACCTGGGACCCTTCAGTCCGCAACCAGACGCTCTATCCACTGAGCAAAAAACGGTTTCGGCTAAATATCACCATCTTTTGTTCCTAGTAGTGAAGCTATGGGGACTTAAAGGAGACGCCCAAGGCCAGCAGCCTACTGAAGTAAAAGTGTCCCCAGCCCCTAAGAGTCCCAGCCCCCAGGGGCTGATGTGGGGACAGTGATAATCGCACTTCTGGTAAAGGGGACCACGTGAAACCCTAGACATGACTGAGGCAGGATTTGTTGGTAATCCTGGGGCGCCTGGGCGGAAGTTGGCGCCGTGACTCAATGGCCAGCTGTCCCGCGCAGGGCTCCGGGCGCCTGTGGTCCCCCTCACCACGCCCAGGGGGCCTAACGGGAGGTGCCGGCCACGCAGCTGCTTCCCTGGCAGGACCTCACCGCCGCTGCCAGGGGAGCATCTCGTTCCTTTATCTTCAGGGCTTTGAAGTCAGTGGCACTGGGCCCCGGGAATGGCCACTGAGCCTAGCTCTCCGCCTGTGGAATAAGACCTTTGCAGAAAGAGCTCAGCGATTTCTTTCTAACCCATTGGCCTGCCTTATCGCTCTGGATGCCACTCCTTCATCTCAGGAATGTTCCATGGGAGTCAGATGAGAGACGCAGCCTAAGAGGCAAATACCAAGGCGGGGAAGCAGCCAACACTGGCCACCATGACTGGTCGCTGCTACCGTCTACCTTCCTTTATCCCAAGAAGGCCCACTGCTTTGGTCATGACTGTTTTATTATCTGCCACTCTGTTTTGATTTCTTAAATTGTGTTTGTTTGTTTGTTTTTAGAGAGAGGAAGGGAGAAAGAGAAAGAGAGAGAGAGAGAGAGAGAGAGAGAGAGAGAGAGAGAAACATCTATACATTGTTCTACTTACTGATGCATTCATTGGTTGCTTCTTGCATGTGCCCTGACCAGATATCAAACCCACAACCTTGGCGTATCGGGATGGCGCTGTAGACCACTGAGCTACCCAGCCAGGGTGGCTTATTTATTATTCTGGAGCTTCACGAAGGAATTGGGAAAACAGTTCAATTAACAGGCCCCGAACTTGGTCATATAAATGCACGCGCATTAACTCCCTGTACGATAGCCATCTTTATATTTTGTCATATTATTTTTGGCTTATGTACAAAAAGATTGCCATGCTACCTTACTGTCCTTAATAATTTACTCTATTTCTATTTTTAAAATATAGCTTGTCTACGGATTCCCTGGTAGTTGCATTTCATTCCTAAAAATACATCAAATTAAGGATTACAAAAATCACAGGCTTAAAGAGAATATTGTTTGCTTGGTGTTGGACAGTTCAGATCAAACACCTGATTCCACGTAATTCTTTGGAGTCTTCACCTACTGGGGGGGGGGGGGCTGCTCCTCCAGGCGCACCCCACACCCTGTCCTCACCTGGATGGGTCTGATGCCTCATCTGTCTCCATCTCTAGACCCTGAGATCGTGTGGCAAGGATATATTTTTCTTTGTCTCCCCAGCATTCAGGGAAATGTTTGACACATAGTAGGTGCTTTAAAAAGCTTTCACTGAATGAAAACTAAAGTTACTTTTCTATAGCTTTCCAGTCAATCATGTATAATTTTTTTTTTTTCTGACATCAGTCCAAGCTGCATCACGGGCTAATTGGATGAGTCCTCATTGAGATCATGGAGCTGCGGGCTGCCCGGGGACTGAGCTCAGGATCCGCAAATAGGACCATGCTCAAGGCTTGACTTACGGACTCAGTTTTACCAGCTATTCCGAATATCACGTGCAGGAACCCCAGTACACAAAGCCTTCAAAGTGTTCATACTAAAAAATAAAAATTAAAAAAAAGGCAACAATGTGTATGTGGATTTCAAAGCCCGGATTTGGGAATCGGGTTCTGAGAGACATGACATGTGTTTATTTCCAGGATGGAAAGTCAGGAGTCTGAGCCGGGCCCGCCTTGCAGGGCCCCCTGGAACCGGTCCGGCCAATGGGCCGGTGGACGGTATAAATAGGCGTGGACGGTATAAATAGCCAGGAGCTCTGGCCCCAGGACTGCTGCCGGCCCAGCTGTCTCTCCGGACAGGACTGCGACCAGCAGCCAGCACCTCGCAGCCAGAAAGCCAGCGGCCAGCACCCAGCACCCAGCAGCCGGGCAGCCAGCGGCCAGGAGCCAGCAGCTAGCACTCAGAAGCCAGCACCCAGTAGCCTGCACCCAGCAGCCAGCACCCAGTAGCCAGCACCCAGCACCCAGCAGCTAGCACCCAGTAGCCAGCAGCCGGGCAGCCAGCACCAGCACCCAACGGCCAGCGGCCGGGCACCGGCACTTGAGTGGCCTGCTGCCCGCATTCCCAGCGGCCATGTCGGTGCTGGAGGAGGGCCGGCCCTTTGCCCAGCAGCTGTCCAATGTCTACTTCACGATCCTGTCCCTCTTCTGCTTCAAGCTTTTCGTGAAGATCAGCCTGGCCATCCTCAGCCACTTCTACATCGTCAAAGGCAACCGCAAGGAGGCGGCCCGCATCGCAGCTGAGTTCTACGGTGCCGCCCCGGGCCCAGGTAGGTGCCCTCTCTCCGGTCCGCGGAGTCCCACCCCAGCAGCATCTTCCTCTCCTGGTCCCTCTGGAGGGATGTCATACACTTCTTGTTGTGGAAAATGTTTGCTAACTCCATGGTTTCGTTTAAAAAAAAAGGACTTTGCTGTGGAACTGAGTTAGTAGAAGGAAGGCATCTTTGCAAACCAGATGGATGGGAACCTACTTTTAAACACACGTTGTTCTGGCAGAGGTGGCTCTGTTGGGTGGAGCGGTACCCCATACGTCAACTAACCATACACTGATCTGTGCGTAACTATTTTAAACCTTTAAACCTTTAAAATCAGAGTTTTACAGGCTCTGGCTCCCCCGAATGGTCCGTTAACGGATAGCCAAAGTTTTATGATTTTTGTTCAAAGCTTTAGGCCTAGGGGAAGCCTGTATTCAGAAGAGGAGATTTTGAGAGCTGATGTGTTTGCCACCCCTTCCATTTTCCCGAGATGAAGCACGCGGTTATAGGATAAGGCGTATCAGCAGGATGGGTGGCGTGGTGTTCCTGGTGGCTTGTTGTTTTGCTCCATTCGTAAGAAAGGGATGATGAGAGGATAGGAACATGAGTTAACAAGTGTGTGTGTGTGTGTGTGTGTGTGTGTGTGTGTGTATGTGTGTGTGTGCAGCCAAGTACAGCCCCCACGCCGCCCAGTAAAAATGGAAGTGTGAGACCACATGAGACACATGGTTTGGATCATAGACTTTAAAGGCTGTAAAACCACTTATGTTCTACCAGTCTGATACTCTGTACAATCAAATCTGTTCTTGGGGCAGGTTTCAAGGTGATATTTTAAGTTCTGATGGTAAGTCTTTTGGTTAATTTCTGGTTGTGAAAATCGTCAGGCAAGCACGCACAGATTTTAGATCACCAGATATCTCTACCATAACTGACATGTTCAGAATTGAAATGTCCTACCACACAATTATAGAAGGCAACTTTTTCCCTAGAACACTTAGAGTGGAGAACTTGACCTCTTAAAAATCTGATTGCTTCCGTTTTTCATTTTGTGAAAATGGTTCATTTTAAACACAGGTTACCCTCTGTGTATATGGAAAGTTGAATAAAGGTCGAAAATCTGTTTTTGATGTGTGAGGTAGATCATGAGTATATTTTTCCTAAGGAAGTGTTTTCTTATGCAAAGCGAGGGTTTTATGAGCTCATTAGAAGTGGGCGGGACCTAACTGCCAGGGTGCAACTCCCAGGAGGAGAGGAAGGTGGGCCCCAGAGCCAGGAGGCAGCATTTGACCTGTGCCCACAGCCGGCTTCAGAGCAGGTGGAGTGTGGAAATGTGGCAGACCGAACATCTTGTTTAAAAACATCAAACACGAAGACTAGATTTTTAAACAAAACCTCATTTCCAGATACAGGACTAAATAGATGATATGATCACATGTCCTAGCATAGCAACCTACCGCTCATTACCATGATTCCTAATCAAATCTTGTCTACAAATTACGAGAATTGCCATATGTAAAAGCTTAAAATATAGGCTAAAACGCTATAAGTGTGTGTGTGTGTGTGTGAGTGTGTGAGTGAATTAACAAGGGTTTTAGAGGAAGCTATGTAAGCTCATTTTTGCACATATTTTTGTGCAAATAAAAAGCAACCATCATCTTCTCTTCAGCCTGGGCCCAGTGTGATTAAGCTGGTGTGACAGGCATATACAAAATGGCCCCCTGCTTTTTACGAGTCTGTGTTAAGATGTATGAGAACTCTAGGATTATTTCCCAAAAAGGGGAAGAAGGAAATTAACACTTACTAATAGAAAACCCTTTTCCTAAGAATAAGTAAGTTGTTAACAATTTTTATTTTGTGTTGTTTTTAGTGGTAGATCTTTTTAACAACATTCTGCCTTCCAATATCTTGCATTAATCTATATATTAAGTAACGGAATATATTGTTAATTTTATTCAGTTGAAGCATAATTAGTCTCCTTTTTTTAAAAAAAAATTTTTTTGTATTAGAAGGATAATCAGATATCTAGCAAGCACTTTATTGATCTCCTACATCTAAGCATTCATTCTTTCTTGCCCAGGAAATTATTATTTTCTTCATCTTAATGTAGCTTGTTCTTTTATTTACTACAAATACGCTATTTTTATATCGATTATATTTTTATGATTAACTAATCAGGCTCAATTATCTTTGTTTAATCTGGCAATTGGCTCCTTCCTTGGAGAGCTTGTCACCTTTACTCCACGTTGAATTAGGTTTCCTCTTCCTCCTTTCAAGACTCAGCCAGATGGCTCCCCAACATTTCTGATGTGGGGGTGCCAAATTCCGTGAAATAGGAGCTCGTGTGTGTGTGTGTTTCCACGTCCTTTATAATCAGAGAAGACCCTGCTGACAGCCCTCTGGATGTCCTCCCCATGAGCAGTGTGCTCTGTAGGAAATGAAGTAGCCCGTGTCTCAGACTCACCCGAATCAGCCCTCTGAGCTCCACAGGTGTCAGCTGGTCCTAACACGCTTTCCCAACAGGCCTGAGACCCAGGGGTGATTACTCAGCGAGAGTGAAAATGCAGCACAGCTCAATGGTGGCTAACGTGGCTCAAGGCCTTCTCGCCCCCGTTGTTATTCCGATAAAACTAAAATCTGCCTTTTCATCTTCTGTGCCAATGACTTTTCTCCACACCACATCAAGTAGAAGGGACCTCCTTGCCACACACCTTGTTATGTAACTACCGCCTGAATCGCTCTGGCTGTTTAAGGTCTTGGTGACAATCGCTATGAACCAGAGGTCTAGTCCATTTTTATAGCTAGCCCTGGACTTTGAGACTGACTGTGAGACTAACAGTAGTAGAAACAGAGAGCAAATGAGGCTGCGGGGAGTACACTGATTTTCCGAAGTCACTCCAAGGTCCCCAGAGAAGCCACGAGCTGCTGATATTCCAAGAACACCGCGGGAGGTAGCTGGCTCCTCTGCTCAGTTAAGGGCAATATTTTCAAGTTCTGTCTTAGGCTCTGAAGGAAATTCAATAGATTTACCCACAAGGCCCCCGTTCTAAGCACTTGTTTGTTGAGCTCCCCTGATAACAAGGAACTAAAGAAACAGAATACAACAAAGACAAAAGGTACCATTCCCACCTAATTGAGGAGATAGTATATAAGCATATAATAATGACTTTCCAGGTACACTCTTACCAAGGAATCTGGCGAATGGGAAGACCAGTCTCAAGTCATGACTTTCGGAGATATTCATGGTGAGGCAGACCTTGAGTTGACAGAGGAAGGAGCTGAAGCTTGGATTTAAGCCTAGACTATGAAGAGGCAATGAATTTGACTGCAGTAGAAGGTTTATGAAGCAGAAAACGATGTTAATAACTTGGGCACTGATATGGAAAGAATTTGAATGGCAGGCTAAGCAATTTGAACTTAATTTTGAAAGCCATAGGAGTCATTGAGAGTTTCTGGCGAGCGCGCGCGCATGTGTGTGTGTGTGTGTATGTGTGTGTACACGCGTGCACGCAGGAGTTGGGGAGGGGTGGTGAATGGGAAAACACATGCATAAAATCCTAATTTAAGATAGATTTATATATCCGTGATCTTTGGAGTTGGGCAATGGGACAGGCTTGAGACAGGTAGCTGAGGAGCTCCCTGCCATAAAGAGATGAGGCTTGTTTGTTGATGCTGGCACTGATAGAAAAGAATGACAAGAAATACAAATTAAAGAAAGGAGAAAGGAAGAATGGATGAACCTGACCATTCCTTTGAATAACATTGGCAGAGGGAGCAAATGTTACCTTAGGGAGCTGTCTCCCAGAATTGGTTTAACCTATCTTAAGAAAAATATGTCAGTCACGGGATTCACTGATACACAGGCAGATCTGCAGTTCCCAGCCACCCCAGGGAGGTGGGTCCTTGGCTGCTTAGCCACCTCCTCTCTGGTGAGAAAGATCAGGGTAAATCAACTAGAATCTGAACCCTGTTCTTGCATTTGATTTATTTAATGTATTTTCCCTCTGTCCCACCTTTTCATCACTAAGCCACCTCTGATTATTACTTGACTCTCCCTCCAGACCTGTCCACAGAAGGAAAATGTGCTGGTTTGACCCAGCATTTCATCAGCCCAGCCGACACTAGCGGTCCTTGTTGTAAATTCATGTACTTGCGTCTTGGTATCGGTCCGTAGCGTTTGTGCTCTGAGTTGTAAGCGCACCTCTCGATGTGAATTTGCTCCAGCTTTGCTGCCAGATTGGGTTTCATCCCTGAGACTTTCTGTGGAATACAGGAGAGATGTAGCATCATCGAATGGGATATCTGTGTTTGTGATTTAATAACTTTGGGCCTAGGGTTGCCAGGAAGTGTGCAGTGCTTTTCTCAAGCTGTCCATTGTTGATACTTGGAAACTAGCTACTGTGTAAGCATGTCACCAAAGTCAAAGGGCATGTCATTTGGAGAACAGTGTGAACCGGGTGGGAAAAGCAACTGGAATCTTACCTAATCTTACCAAATAAGAGACAAACATGTAAATTGACCATACCTCTGCTACACCCACAGCCAATCAGAGTGACCATGCAAATTAACCCAACAAAGATGGCGGGTTAATTTGCATATGCAGGCATGGAGGGTCAGAAGGGTATGCCTGCTATGAGGGGTAGGGGGGTGGCAGAGGGAGCTAGAGGAGCAGTACTTCAGTCAGAAGTGGAGACTTGCTGGCTCCCCGGGCGGCTGGAAGTGAAGCCAGGGGAAGGAAGGCCTATTCTTGCACAAATATCGTGCAATGGGTCTCTAGTTTTATATAATGTCATGTCATTTTTTTTCTATCAGTAAAGTCCATCCCAGGTCTTAAAGCTACAGCAGATGCCAGAGATGGCACACAGGGGTATTTCTCACACCTGCTTCCCAGGAACTCCATTCAGGTGGTGTTCGGTGGTGCTCTGTGGATTAGCTATGAGGTTAGTTATGTTAGAAACATTTCTCAGAACTTCAGCAGTGAGCTATTTCAAGAGGCAAATCTGTAGGATGGCTCTTTT